GCCACCCATCAGTGCCGCCTATCAGTGCCCATCATTGTTGCATATCAGTACAGCATTGCCAGTGCCAGCTCATCAGTGCCGCCTATCAGTGCTGCCTATCAGTGCTGCCTATTCATGCCACCTCATCAGTGCCGCCTATCAGTGCCCATAAGTTCTGCCCATCAGTGCCGTCTATCAGTGCCCATCAGTGCTGCCTATCAGTGCAGCCTCATCAACGCACATCAGTGAAGGAGAAAAATTACCTGTTTGCAAAATTTTATAATAGAAATAAAGAAAAACTTTTTTTTTTCAAATTTTTTGCTCTTTTTTTTTTGTTTATAGCTCAAAAAATAAAACACCCAGCGGTGAGTAAATGCCACAAAAAGAAAGCTCTATTTGTGTGTAAAAAAAATTCTAAAAATTTCATATGTGTACAGTGTTGTATGACAGCATTGAAAGCTGAAAATTGGCCTGGGCAGGAAGGGTGTATAAGTGCCCAGTAGGCAAGTGGTTAAGGCTCACTCAGTCTCGATTGCAGTACCTGGCTGCATAGGTCTACTTCTGGCCTCAAATAGTGTTCCACAGCCACAGTCCCTCCCCACCTCGGGGTTTGCTTGCTTTTCCAGGGACCTCCAGACTTCCTCCAGCCCTCCTGCACCCTCTAGCCACCTCAGCTTTCTCAACCTCCCAGACCCTCTCTTGGTCTCCCAGGGCCTTGTAGTTGTCCCAACTTTCCCAGTCCTTTGGGCAAGAAGCCCCCCTCACAAGGGATGCAGTCTCTGAGAGGAACAACCAGATCTCCTGACAGGACTCTTTCTTGTAATGGCAGCAGCTGCTATGCTCAGATCTGGCTTATACCAATACTGCCCACCTGCCCTCACACAGGCAACTAGCAAAGCCTGGACACAGGACTGAAGGCTCTGTTCCACCCAAGACTCTTTGGAACCTTCAAGCTCAAGACCCCAATCAGGAACTACCAATCTCAGAAAAACTTAGCACACAGTATTCTCTGTTCACAAACCACCTGCTGGAGCTTCTCAAACTGGATCTTTGAGAGTCCTGTGTCATCTCTGTCTAAATTCACATAGTGGTGGGGCCTTGCCCTGTCTCAATATATAGGCCCCTAAATTTGCCCCTTTTTTTTTTTAAACAAAGCAAAGCTATAACTAAAGGCAATCAATTAAATGGGGGTGGACTCCTGCGCTGCCAAATAAAAAAATATCCTCACAAGGGATGAAGTAGCTGCTAACACCCGAAGGAAATGAAGGGTGACGTAACGCGTAGGAATAGAGCGTGGTGATGTCATTACGTTTGGACGTAATTGCCATCTTGGGACTCCTTGTATGTACATCTGATTGTGGGTTACACAGTACATGCCTGCTGGGTCTGTGACCCTTGTTTTTATGTGAGTAGCCATTTAGCTGTTTTTGAATTTTTTAAATAAATATCTAATTACTACACTATGGAAGTTCTATCTTTGACTTCTTTTTGAGCCATTTGAAGACCCCTTAAAGATGTGTTTGATCGTTTATATGATTTCGATGGGGGCTGTTCCTGTGTCCACTTAAAGGGAGAGATTCATCCAACCAGGGATAATCCAGGGATATTGATTGCTCTTTGACTCCTTGAGAGTCAAATTTTTGAGGTGAGCGCACACTAGAAGTTGATGGATATAATTGGCACCATAAATATGAGCACGCAACAAAAAGTGGGAATATAAAAGTTGAAGAATTGAAAAATCTGGATTTTTATATTATATATTTTTTTGTGCTATAATTATTATTTTTTTTTTTTCACTTGTTGGGACTAATTTCTTCACTTCTTGGGACTTTTTTAATTTATTTATATCAATTGATATATGTCACGGTTTTATAATTGGTCACTTTGATTTTATATTTGCTTTGGAATGTATATCACCTTTAATTAAGGTAATAAGGATACACATGGTCTATTAATATTCTTTCACTTTAATATTATGATTTGACAATATGGTATTTTAGTATTTACAGCACTACACCATTTGTTCAAAATAATTTTTTCAATATAACTAAAGGCACTTTTCATTACTGGTAGAGTAAGGGAGGGATTTTTTTTTTTTTACACAATTTGATTGCTTATAGCAAAGAATTTCTTTGCTATAAGCAAGCATTTAACTGAATTGAATCGATTAATTCAGGGTTTTTTTTGTTGTGATTAGCTGTGAATCCGCACTGTGAGGACGTCGAATGACAAAACGCGTAGGGTGGGGCTTAATGGATGTGACATCAGGATACTCCTCGAGACTGTGGGCTGTGGTATCGTGGTGAGCGAGGCTCGTCCCTGCTGTTTCTGAGGCTGTCATTGCTGGTGTCAGCTCAGACACCTTTCTTGTGAGTGCATATCCGATGTTTAATAAAGTATATGATTTTTAAAAAAAAACGTACTGCACCATTATATCTTCTTTTGATTCCCCGAGCATTAGCAATATTTATGGAGAGATGATAACCACTTGTTAATAAGGTTGCTCCACCTGTGCTGACTGGCTGATTGCAGTATATTGCTCCTACTCTTTGGATACTTCTACAGATCATCGCTCCCAGAGCAATTGCTATTGTGCTGATTTATAATTTGATCAGCATATAGCTCTGGTGAGTTTATTCATTTTATTTGGTGGTGGATTTTCTCACGGTGTTTTTTTTTTGCTTCATACAAGATTTCAGAATTGATTATCACTTTTGATGGTGGTTGGACTTATATATGAATTGTGGACATTACATTTGAATTAATTTATTATTTCTTTGTGGTAATATATTTTTTAGAGCATTCCTTTATTTATTTAAATGTCATGCATTGTTTCATGCATTGTTTCATGTTTTTCATGCATGTTTTCAGAAAGCACACCAAACATGCAGCAAGCAGAAACTTTGGTACACTTTTAGAAAATGCACCAAAAATGCCAGACAGAATAGAAGCCTATGGGAAACTGTGGGTAACTCGCATGAAGGCTAGGTTCTGCCATGCCTCCTGAAAAGCAGGAAAAATGTCCCTGCAACATTTTAGAAATCACAGCCCACGCAGAAACCACAATTTCAGTGCGGCTCCCAGTGTATGTTGTATGCCATTAAGATTAATAGTACCCAGGGGCGGACTGACCATTTAGAAACTCGGGCACTGCCCGAGGGCCCGGGGTCAGTAGGGGGCCCATGAAATGCCCCTGGTACCTTTTTCATAGGCTTTTTTGAGTTTGGGCAAGGACACATGGGCCCTATGATCCCCTATTGCCAGGGGGCCCCATGAGTTGTCAGTCCACCCCTGATGGTACCCGCACACATCCAGCACATTTTTCTGTGAGGGCAGTTGTGGCAACAGGTGCACACCTGCAGCAGGAACCACCCGCACGAATGTGAACCTAGGTGAAAACCATGGGTACACTGCGCTGCATCTGCTCTGCGGCCAAACTGCAGTGCAGCAGGGTGAAAGCAGACTCACAGTGCTCCCTTGAGGCAACCTTTCCTTCACTTCCTACAGTATGCAGATAAAAGCTGTCAGAGAGAAGGGGAAGAGAAGAGAAATCACCTCTTTGGGGATTCAGAGGAGTTTAAAACCTGACAGAAGTTCCAACCCCTTCCCCTGTGAATCCAAAAGTGAAAAAAAGTGTTGGCTGAAGAAGGCTTTACGCGTCCTTTTTACCATATATTAGGAAGTCAAACTTAGAATTCTAAAAAATATGCAAATACAGTCATGGCAAAAAATATTGACACCCCTGCATTTCTGTTAGATAATGCACCACTTCACCCAGAAAATTGTTGCATTTAGAAATCTTTAGGTGTTCTCGTGTTTATTTCTTTTGTTTGTATTGGTATGGAAAAAAGTGGAGAAACTAAAAGCCAAATCTGGCACATTCCATGCAAACCCCAAAAATGGACTGGACAAAATCATTGGCACCTTCTTAAAGTTGTAAAAAATAATTGCATTCCAAGTTTGTAATGCTCCTGTAATTTGTAATTAAACTCACCTATATCAATTAACGGATCTTAATGTTCCTGTGTCCACTGTGCGCAACATTGTCAAGAAGTTTACAGCCCATGGCATTGTAGATATTTTCCCTGGTCATCGACAAAAGAGAAAAACTTGATCAAAGATTGCAACAAAGGATTGTTGGAATGGTGGATAAAGAACCTCGATCTACTTCAGACAAATTCAAGATGACCTTCAGGGACAGGGTACGACTGTGTCGGCTTGCACTCTATGTTGCCATCTGAATGAAAAGGGACTCTATGGTAGACCCAGGAGGACCCCACTGCTGATACAGAAACATTAAAAAAAAACATTGGAGTTTGCCAAAACTTACCTGAGGAAGCCAAAATCCTTTTGGGAGAATATGCTGTGGACAGACAAAAGAAAAAAATTGCAGCATTTTGGAAAAGCCCATCATTCTACGGTTTTCAGAAAAAGAAATGAGGCTTTTAAAGAAAAGAATACAGTGCCTACAGTCAAACATGGTGGATGTTCACTGATGTTTTGGAGTTGGTTTGCTGCTTCTGGCACTGGGCGTCTTGACCGTGTGCATGGCATTATGAAATCTGAAGACTACCAAAGAATTCATGGATCTTGCAGCAGGACAATTACCCAACGCACACATCAATAAAGTATACAGAAATGGTTTAAGACAAGTGCTGGAGAGTACTGAACTGGCCAGCAGTGAGTCCAGATCTCAATCCCATAGAGCACCTGTGGAGTGATCTCAAGCAGCAGTTGAGAAAAGGAACCCTTCCAATCTGAGAGACCTGTGTCACGTACCTTAGTAGGGAGCCTGACGTGAAGAGGCAGACCTCTCGTACAACCCCGGCTCAGGAACCGCTGAGAGTGAGACAGCAGTCACAGGAGCGTGGTGGGGTAAGAGGGCCTGGGATCCACCTGGTGAAGTAGCAGGACTGGGGAGCAGCGGACCAAAGCAGGATGCGGATGGATCCGTGCAGGATGGATGGATGATGCAGAGCAGACCAGAGCAGGATGCGGATGGAACCGTGCAGGATGGATGGATGCGGATGCACCGGGAGGCAAGTAGCGGAGTCAGGCGGGTCGGGTTTGGTATCCAAGGAGGCAGAGCAGACCAGAGCAGCAGGCAGAGGGATCGTCGGGTTACAGGCCAGGTTCAGCAACAGGAGGTAAAATGATAAGATGAAGGCAGAAGAATATCCAGAGACAAGCCAGGGGTCAGGGCAGGTGATGGTCAACAATAGTCAGGAGCAGGCTGTGTTCGGCAACAGGAAACAAATCAGAGTCAGGAATCACAGGCAGAAGAATAAGACCATATGGCAATTTGGATCCTGCAGTGGCCCGTTTAAACAGCCCGCTCGGCGCCGTCATTGGTGACAGGCGCGCAGCCTTGAGCGTGAGTGCGCATGCACGGCCGCAATTGCCGCCATGCACGCCTTGGTCCTAGTGCCCGTACGCCTTGTCGGGATCCTGCGCATGCGCAGATTCGTGCGCTGCGGCGATCTTTTTATTCCCTGACAACCTGGAGCAGTTGGTGAAAAAAGAATGGTCCAAAATTCCAGTAGAAAGGTGTAAGAAACTAATTAATGGTTACAGGAAACAAATGATTTCAGTTTTTTTCCAAGGGGTATATTACCAAATATTAAATTGAGGATGCCAATAATTTTGTCCAGTCCATTTTTCGGGTTTTGCATGGAATGTGTCAGATTTTACTTTTTGTTTCTCTGTTTTTGTGTCATACCAATACAAAGTAAAAAAATAAAGCATAAGAATCCCTAAACATTTGTAATTGTAACAATTTTCTGTGCGAAGTGGTGCATTATCTGACAGAAATGCAGGGGTGTCAATATTTTTGGCCATGACTGTATATATTTTAATAGCCTCAAAGGATATAAATCTACTTTGTGCATGCTATGTAGTGATGAGCCGTGTTGACGGGGACAAAGGCCTGTTTCTCACAACCGTGGCTGGTGGTTGTGGAGGTCTGTGGGTGGGGGGGTTAATGGAATCTGGAAGCCCCCAGATCCCACCCCCACTTCCATGTGAATGGGTATGGGGTACATGGTACCGCTACTCATTCACACAAATGAAAAGTGTAGTGTAAAAATGACAGAAGACAGTCTTTGACAAGTCCTTTATTAAAAATGATAATTTAAGAAAGTCCCCCGAAGTAGATCCAACGTCAATCACGATGTCCACCTCCACCACCACCGACCAGAAAAAAGAATTAAAAACACTCCGCTCTTGGCGCTGATTCCCACCATCTGACAGCTGCACCAGCCTGACAGTTCTTAAGTCCTGTGATGACGTCACAAGGTAGCAGGGTGGCCCCACCCCTTGTGATATCATTCTGCGCTGTGATTGGCCAAAGCATTGCATCTGACCTGTGCTTAGGTGCATTGCTTTGGCCAATTAGAATGCAGTGTCAAGGCACAGTGCATTGTGGGACACGGCCTGCTGAATGCCCTTACAGTTCTTTTGTTTGCCGAATACACGAACAGCCAAAGTTTGACTTGAACATCAAGCCCAACCCTAATACTATGTTGTTTTGGAAACCCAGATATTGCCTTGTAAAATAATAACATGATGATCGACTCTGTGCTGTACACATAACCTGTGCAGAGAGCAGAGCTGTAGGAGGGACCTAGCAGATCCATCCAGGAGGGGCGGAGACAGGACCAGTCACCCTGCTCAAGGAGAGAGAGCAGCCATGATTCGTCTTTATTACAGGAAGCTGCTCTGCACATAGGCAAAGTGCCCAAATTGTTACATGCTGGATTACTGCACAAATCTGGAAGAAATACACAAAGAACGTCCAAATACACATGGTTCTTGTTTTTTATTTGTTTAGCCAAAGTTTCAGCATTAAATTGCAATTAGTTTCTAAATGTTGGTATATTTTTGAATTGATACAAACTTGTACATGTCTTATTAAGTTGCACATTGTTGCGTTCAGCACTCACACACAGCGCCCACAGCAGCCCGCAGCCATAGGAATATATGCATATTATAAGGCTCTAAAGATGTGTCAAACAGAACTAGATACTGACCAGGCTCCCATACGCCATTCATACCCTGGTGTTTGGGTCCCAGGTCTTTCAGCTATGATAGATGGCCTTCATAGTATCTTCCACCAAAGCACGGGAATAAACATAAGTCACTTTCTTTAACAAACAGAGCAATTCAGTACTACACAAATGTGTCTTTAATCTCTGTGTGAGTAAGAGCATGTTATTACCATTTACATTACTAGTAATACACTTATAAGCTTTAGTCCAACTCTTCCATGTTTATATTGCTCCCTGATGGGGGAGGATGAGCCACGCTGCGTGTTTCCACCGCGGGTTGAGTGGTGTTTGTTGTACGAGATGTTCATTGTCATACTGTGCAGACAGCTCATTAAACATTAACAGATCGAGAGAGCAGATGAGTGTTTATCATGTAAAAATGATCAACACCATCCCCCCCCCCCCCCCCCTAATTTGGATGTCATATACAGAAAAAGTATGTTGCCAGCTTTTGCTCCCATAATAACAGAGCATTGCACGTTTTCTATCATTAACTCAGAATTGTGAGCAATGAAATTATTAATCCAGTACTGAGTGTGGAACTTCTGCATGTTTTTTTGTTTAGGACATCAAATTCAAGCTAGCTACATTCGAACTAGCTATACACATTAAGATTTCTCTTTTTCAGCCCCCCCCCCCGGCTGATCCAAAGAAATTGATTGATCCCCCCCATCCACACGATACAGCCATGATGGAGGAATTCCCCATGCTGGCTATTGTATTCTGAAAGCAGCTGCTCACACGGCTGTCAGAGTACCCAAACAGTGACTGCATCTGATTAACCCCCTTGGAGGTATTCCTGAGTGTAGCTCGGAGTTAAATTTCAGTACCAGAAGCAGAAACCCCGAGCTACACTCGGGATTACACTGCAGCATTGCTCTGGGATCCCTGGATCACTTACCTTGTCCTCCCACTGCGTCCCTGGCCATGTCCTCCGGCCGATGCCAGCATCCGTCTTCCGCGCTCTGTTCCCTGTGAGAGTCAGGATGTACGGGGGACAGAACCGGCGGGAGATTAAAAAATGTCAATATTTAACATACACATAATACACTAAAATCTGATAGTATTACATTACTGTATCAAACCATTTCACATACATTTTGTCCTTAATGCTTTTTTACAGTTCTTTCTGCCTGGAAACTGAGAAACATCCATGGCGTCCAAAAAGCGTCCCTTTAGGTCAAAAGCGGTATTAGACCAGCTAGAGAACAGCGATAGTGAATTAAAATCACTTGCAGAATTGAGTGATAGGATTCGTGGCGAAATTCATCATCAGACACTGAAAACGATTCTGCGACTGAGCTCAGTGATGTGCGAACTTGGCGCTGTATTTCAAATTTCAGTGTTTTTGGTTTGATTACATTATTGAATAAAATGTATTATTATTACGTGCATGCGCACGCAATGCATTGGGTGAAGCCTATGTGCTGACGTCATGCTGCTGTGTCCATGATCTGGAGCAGCAGCCATTTTGGTATGTGTATTTACACATGTACTTTATGTTTCCACGTGGAAAGTTTTTATCTCTATTTTAAATAAATACTACACTATATATGCTTTTCCGTGCTCCGTGTGGTGAGATTTCTTTCTAGGAGGATCTCCAGCCCAAGATTGTGAATATGTACATGGATCATTGCTACTATACCAGTAGCATTCTGGTGAGTGCATAGTGGTGGTGGAGTGTTCACTGGATCCCTTGACTCAGTATTGGAGCTGGATATGTTGCTGTTTTGCGATTAGCAGTATCACTGGCACATACAGGTGAAACTCGAAAAATTAGAATATCGTGCAAAAGTTAATTTATTTCAGTAATGCAACTTAAAAGGTGAAACTAATATATGGGATAGACTCATTACATGCAAAGCAAGATAGTTCAAGCCGTGATTTGTCATAATTGTGATGATTATGGCTTACAGCTCATGAAAACCCCAAATCCACAATCTCAGAAAATTAGAATATTGTGAAAAGGTGCAATATTCAAGGCTCAAAGTGTCCCACTCTAATCAGCTAATTAGGCCATAACACCGGCAAAGGGTTCCTGAGCCTTTAAATGGTCTCTCAGTCTGGTTCAGTAGGAATCACAATCATGGGAAAGACTGCTGACCTGACAGCTGTGCAGAAAACCATCATTGACATCCTCCATAAGGAGGGAAAGCCTCAAAAGGTAATTGCAAAAGAAGTTGGATGTTCCCAAAGTGCTGTATCAAAGCACATTAATAGAAAGTTATGTGGAAGGGAAAAGTGTGGAAAAAGCAGCAGGGATGACCGCAGCCTGGAGAGGATTGCCAGCAAAAGGCCATTCAAAAGTGTTGGGGACTTTCACAAGGAGTGGACTGAGGCTGGAGTCAGTGCATCAAGAGCCACCACACACAGACGGATCCTGCATATGGGCTTCAAATGTCGTATTCCTCTTGTCAAGTCGCTCCTGAACAACAAACAACGTCAGAAGCATCTTACCTGGGCTAAAGAAAAACAGACCTGGTCTGTTGCTCAGTGGTCCAAAGTCCTCTTTTCTGATGAGAGCAACTTTTGAATCTCATTTGGAAACCAAGGACCCAGAGTATGGAGGAAGAATGGAGAGGCACACACTGCAAGATGTGTGAAGCACAGTGTGAAGTTTCTGTGTTGATTTGGGGAGCCATGTCATCTGCTGGTGTTGGTCCACTGTGCTTCATTAAGTATAGGGTCAATGCAGCCATCTACCAGGAGATTTTGGAGCACTTCATGCTTCCTTCCGCAGACGAGCTTTATGGGGATACTGACTTCATTTTCCAGCAGGACTTGGCACCTGCCCACACGGCCAAAAGCACCAAAACATGGTTCAATGACCGTGGGATTACTGTGCTTGATTGGCCAGCAAACTCGCCTGACCTGAACCCCATAGAGAATCTATGGGGCATTGCCAAGAGAAAGATGAGAGACATGAGACTGAACAATGCAGAAGAGCTGAAGGCCGCTATTGAAGCATCCTGGTCTTCCATAACACCTCAGCAGTGCCACAGGCTGATAGCTTCCATGCCACACCACATTGAGGCAGTAATTGCTGCAAAAGGGGCCCAAACCAAGTACTGAGTACATATGCATGCTTATACTTTTCAGAGGTCCGATATTGTTCTATGTACAATCCTTGTTTTATTGATTGCATGTAATATTCTAATTTTCTGAGATTGTGGATTTGGGGTTTTCATGAGCTGCAAGCCATAATCATCACAATGATGACAAATCACGGCTTGAACTATCTTGCTTTGCATGTAATGAGTCTATCTCATATATTCGTTTCACCTTTTACGTTGCATTACTGAAATAAATGAACTTTTGCACGATATTCTAATTTTTCGAGTTTCACCTCTATATGGACTATATGTATTTACACCAGCACTTGT